TTCAACCCAAGCAAAAATGGTGAGACCTCTCAAATTTTACTCTACAACCTACCAATACACTTGAATTGTCTGTACGACGATTATAATTATTTATGATCTCTGCAAGAGGGGCTGATACTGTCATGCTTAGCGAAGGATGAGAAGGGATTATACCAACCATACTGCATTCATTGGTACAGTAAGTTGTACCTAACACTCTTGCCCAGTTTTCTCAATCTCATACTGCATCTCACAATTTATTATTTTTTTTATTGTTCTTTTATCAAATTAATTTAGATTTAGTATTGTGTATGGTTGTTTGGTATAGGTGTGGCAGGTTCTTATTTATTTGGCACAAGTTTGTCAAATATGAATTTTTGTATTATTATTATTACTGGAAATGCGAAGCATTATTATTTTGTTGTTTTTGGATATAACATATGAGAAAATTGACCTGTAGTTTCAATATATCATGGAATTACCCAGATAACTCTAATCAAGTCGCTGTCCCAGATTTCCGCTTGGCTGATTTCATGGGTATGAGAAATTACCTGGGTGGGTTAAATTGGGACGACCTTACTGTGTGTCAGGTTGGTAGGGTTGGTTGCCAATATGACGTATTTCAGAGCATAGTGCTGGCTGCCCAGATGACTTTTGTCCCAAGTAGGGAAATTAGATCTAACAAAAAATGATCCCAGATGGATAAACAATAGATTAAAACATCTCATTGGTCAAAAGAGAGGCATATATAGACATATCAGAAGAGGGGAAGGGCAGTTAAGAAATCAATATATTCAGTTAGAGAGAGAAATAAAAAAAGGAAAAAGAAAAGCAAAATGGGATTATAAGGCTAAAGTCGGAAGGAATTCGAAGACTAACCCAAAAGGGTTCTTTCAGGTATACAGAAGTAAGATTAGGGGTAAGATAGGCCCACTTAAGAGTAACTTGGGTCAGATTGCTGACAGTGATAAGGAAATGTGTGAACTTATCAATACCTACTTCCTCTCAGTTTTTACTCAGGAAGATACTAGTGAAATTCCAGAATTAAATTATGTAGAACAGGACGACAATAAACTATGCATGATTAGGGTAACTAGTGACATGGTCCTCAGACAAATAGAGAAATTAAAACCTAACAAATCCCCAGGTCCTGATGAACTGTTTGCAAGGGTGTTAAAGGAATGTAAAGAGGAACTTAGTATACCTTTGGCTAATCTTTTCAGTATGTCACTACAAACTGGCATAGTGTCAGACAAGTGGAAAATGGCAAATGTAATACCCATTTGCTAGGCAGATGACAGGTCCTTAGCTTTGAACTATAGACCAAAAAGCCTTACTTCCATAGTTGGTAAATGTATGGAATCAATAATTGCCGAAGAAATTCGTAGCCATCTTGAAAGGCATAAATTGATTAATGAATCTCAGCACAGTTTTATAAAGGGGCGTTCCTGTCTTGCGAATTTCCTAACTTTATTCACTAAGGTGTAGGTGTTTGAGGAGGTACATCATGGTATTGAATATAATATTGTGTATACGGACTTTAGTAAGGCTTTCGATAGAGTTCCACATCAGAGGCTGTTAGGCACACGGAATAGGAGGAGAAATCTTTTCCTGGGTAGAGGCATGGTTGACAAATAGGCAGCAGAGAGTTTGCATAAATGGGGAGAAATCAGAATGGGGGCACATCACAAGCGGTGTTCCATAGGGGTCAGTGTTGGGCCCCATGTTGTTCACAGTCTACATAAACAACATAGATGAGGGAATAAATAGCGACATAAGCAAATTTGCTGATGACACCAAAATAGGCCGTCCAGTTCATTCTAATGAGGACATTAGAGCACTCAGGATGATTTGAATAGACTGATGCAGTGGTCGGAGAAGTGTCAGATGCAGTTTAATGTAGACAAATGCAAAGCTCTAAATGTCGAAAAGGAAATTAACCATGCCACATATAAACTAAATAATGTAGATCTTAATATTACGGATTGCAAAAAGGATTTAGGAGTTTTGGTTAGCAGTAATCTGAAACCAAGACAACAGTGCATAAATGTTCGCAATAAAGCTAACAGAATCCTTGGCTTCATAGCAAGAAGTATAAATAATAAAAGTCCTCGGGTTGTTCTTCAACTCTGTAGTATATCTTTGGTTAGGCCTCATTTAGGTTATGCTGCACAGTTTTGGTCACCGTATTACAGAATGCATATAAATGCACTGGAAAACATACAATGGAGGATGACAAAGTTGATCCCATGTATCAGAAATCTTCCCTATGGGGATAGACTGAGGGCCCTGAATCTGCACTCTATAGAAAGGCATAGAATTAGGGGGGGTATGATTGAGGTATATAAATGGAAAACAGGAATTAATAAAGGGGATGTAAATAGAATGCTAAAAAATATCTAACATAAACAGGACTCGCAGCAATGGTTTTAAATTGGAAAAATTCTGATTCAGGAAGGATATAGGAAAGCACTGGTTTGGTAATAGAGTTGTGGATGAGTGGAACAAGCTCCTGAGTACTGTCATAGAAGCTAAGATGTTGTGTAGTTTTAAAATTAGGTTAGATAAATACTATATGAGTGGGTGTGAATTAGACTAACTAGCTTGTGCTACTAGGTCAGATGCCGTGCTCCTCCCTTAATTGACGTGTCTGACCTCGCTAGGTCAGTGAGGTCAGACGGTCAGTGAGCTTAAGGTCACTAGGTCAGTGAGCCTAAGCTGGTGGGAGAACTGGACCTGCCTCACATAGGCCAGTAGGCCTGTTGCAGTGTTCCTTCTTTCTTATGTTCTTACGTTTTATCGAGCTCTCTAATATAAGCTACAGCAAAAATTCCAACTCTCTCTCTAATAGGATGATTAACAGAATCATGTCTTTTAATCTAGCAAGGGTGGTAGGTTAATTTGTGTTTGGTTAAAAGAGCACCCACTGTGCAATGATGTTTTTTGTAATTTTAAAAATTTTCATGCAGTAGTAAATGAGAGAATGGCAGATGGAGTAGTAAAAATAGTGCAAAATAAACATTTGTGGAAAGAAAGAAAGGTATAAATGTTTAAATTAAATTTTGGGGGTTTATAATAAAATTAGGATGTGAGAAGTGAGTTATAAAGATTTTGGTAATGGACAATGCATAAAACATGTACAGTGGAACCTCAGTACTCGAACTTAATTTGTTCCAGAAGGCTCTTTGAGTATCAAACTAATTTTTTCCCAACCAATTTTCTTTTTTGTTGGCTGTTACCACTAATCTTCTTAGGCTCCATGGTGATTTATTTATACAATTAATATAAAAAAAACACCAAAAAATGCAAAGAAACACGAAATAGTTTACAGTGAATTTCTTGCATGGTTGAGTGCCGAGCAAACGGTCGACTACCTAGCAATTTTTATACTGAACAAAGCATTCGAATACCGAATTGTTCGAGTAAGGAGCTGTTCGAGTACTGAGGTTGCAATGAATATGTTTTCAGAAGAGGATAAATAGGTATACCAGTTATTATGAAATGCTTAATTAGAGCAGCTTATAGTAACCTAATAATGGTAAAAGATTGAAGGGTAGACTTTTGGACGTGCATGTTCTTAGAGAAACTGCTTTTATATCAGCTCATTATTCAGTGATAGAAGAAAGTGGGCAAGGAGAATAGTGCCTGTGGGTAAAATGTACAATGGAATTGCAGGGCTATTATCAAAAGAGTTTGGGGAAAGGCATTTGGTACAGTATTATTTCAGAGAAGCAAGGTTTATTAAGGAAGATTTTTTCATGGTTCAGAATTTAGTATTTTTATTAGTTTACTCATTATATATAGGGTAATTTCTGACATGGGTTAGGGTGGATTTTTTTTTTTGTGCATGCGTGTGCGCTCACATACATATGCACACACGCACGCCTAATTGTGGTTGCAGGGGTTGGATCAGCTCCTGGCCCTGCCTCTTCACTTGTGTGTGTGTTTTGTCTGTCTGTCTGTCTCTTCTGTCAAAAAGTTGTTTAGTTTATTTACAGCTTTGGGAGATAAGAGACTCAATTAATTTTATTTTAGATTTGTGAGTTATTTAGATTTCCTAATTAGACTGAAAGTTATGTATCTTTATTGTTATTTCTTTTTAAATTAAGTCTTAATTTGTATTGATAAGAAAAATTTTATCAGTGGATAAATATGCATTTAGTCAGCTATGGGTTGTTTTATCTTTTTCTTTGGATTTGATTTGTTTAATTTTCATAACCCAATATACATTACAAAGTTTATTTAGTCTATTCTTCATTTAACTTCTCTCCTATTTTTACATTTGTTATCTAAAGAATGTTTTAAATCACACTTTGGATGCTGTTTTATCCCATAATGGTTTTTATATTGATCAGTTTTATGCAGACACTTACCATCAGACATTGCTTTATTTTATCTTCTATTGTTTTTTTCTCTTTTCTTCCCACTTATTTGTGTACATGTGTGCATATTATTATTATTATTGTATTACATTCATGAAAAACACTATACCCATAGAGGTCAGATAGCACCTAGGGGAATGAGAGGCATTTGCATTTGATCTAATGAATGGGTGGGCAGATCCAATTTCTTGTATCAAGAGTCCCTCACCAGCATGAAGGACCTTCTATTTTTAAGGGGGAATTAAGTTTATAGGGGGAAAAAGGGGGTGAGCTGTTGCTCTTGGTCACATTTCGTGATTTTCAGTTGGCTGAGGTGAATCAGTTTTGTCAGTTTTATTTTTAAACTGTAAGTGGTCCATTTCTAGTGTCATTGCTCAACTCATTCCACTTCCTTACCTCATTTATTTTTAACAAGATTTCCTAGTATCCCTGTGACTTATTCAGGTGTGTTATTTCCAAATATGCCCTCTTGTTCTTGTTTCATCCATGGTAAGAGCCTATCATTACCTACCCTCTTTATGCCAGAGACATGAGGCCTAGTTCTTGCATTCTTTCTTCATAACTCATTCTCTTCAATTCAGGTACCAGCTTTAATGTGCTGCTTTGTATTTTCCTAAGTTTAACTTTGTGTTTTACTAGGTGAAGGTTCCATACCGTCGCTGCATACTCAAGACTGGGTTGTACGTGAGTTTTTTGAACAAGTCTGTCTAGCTTTTTTGTACAAGCTCAGGAAAACGATTATTACAAGATCTTTTCCTTAACTGTTTATTTGAGCTTTAGTCCCATTCAGATGATATTCTGTCTTTGTCTCCTTTCCCAGTCTCCCAGCTTCATAACTTTGCTTTTGCGCTTTTGCTCGAGTTAAATTCCATCAACTTTTACTTATCCATTCTTGAGGTCCATCCATGTCAATGTGCAGCCTTGTTTCATTCTCTGCAGTTTATATTCTTTTTATTTTGACATCATCCAGACATTAGAATATGTTGAAGTAAACTGTAACTAGCTCATTTGTGTACACTAAGAAATATAATGAACACAACACTGATCCCTGTGGAATTCTACTAGTTACACTTCCATCCTGATGTTTCATTATAGTGATTTTTATTATTTTAAAGTAATCCTTTATCCATGTTAATACCTTTTCTTTTACCTCAGTTTCATACATAGGCGTGTATGTGGCACCATATTAAAAGCTTTGCTGTTTAGGAATGTGCAGTCCATAAACCCATCTCATTCCTATTTTGTATGTTTATCTTTTGAGTTTTTGCATGCTGATCGTGTGTGTGAATTCCTGTTTGTAGCTTCAGAAGTAGATCTAAGATTTGGTGTTTTGTCTTTAATATTCATCATATAATATTTCAAAATTTCCAGTGCTTGTAGCACTTAATCCCTCCTCTTGAAATCCATTCTATTGTTCTACCACTGTTTACTAAGCAAGTACTATCATCTTTTCAAATGAGTATGAAGTGAAACCTATTAATTTTTTGCACTCTAGCAGGAGTGTTGATTTTTTCTTTGTTTCATGAACACTTAAGATGACAGGTAAATCTTACAAACTTCAAGTACTTCCATTCAGTATACCCATACCTTTAATTTTATATGTGCTTTATAGTAGTTCCTAATACAGTGGAACCCTGGATTTCAGCCGTAATCCATTCTAGAAGGTCGGCCTAAATCCGAAAAGGCCAAAAACTGAAGTAACATTTCCCAAAAGAATTAATGTAAATACAGTGAACCCCCGAGTTTCATGATTAATCTGTTCCAGAGGGTTTGCCGAAAGTCGGAATTCACGAATGTCGAAACCATTTTTCCCATAAGAAATAATGTAAATCCAATTACTGTAATCCGTTCCAGACACTCAAAAGTATTAACAAAAATTATTTTTTTGTTGCATTAAATATAGATTTACATACAGAAAAGAATGAGAAATCAGTATAAAAGAATATTACACTTACCTTTATTGAAGACTCTTAATTATGGAGGATGAGCAGGAGCATTGTCCATTACCAGGAGGCACATGAGTGGCAATTTTTTTTCCAGGAGGTATTCCTTCACACTCAGGCCAAACACTTCATTGAACCAATCAAGGAAAATTTCCCTCGTGACCCATGCCTTACTGTTAACCTTTCACATCACACACAATTTACTCTTGGCGACACTGTGTTTCTTGAACACTGAGATTTTCAGAGTGATACACCAGTAAAGGCTTCACTTTCAAATCCCCACTAGCATTACCACAACACGAGAATTAGCCTGTCTTTCATAGGCTTGTGTCCTGGGAGTGCCATTTCCTCCTGCATGACGTAGGTCCTCTTTGGCATTTTCTTCCAAAAAGAGGCCTGTTTTGTCACAATTGAACACTTGTTGTGGGACGAATTCTTCAGCTTCTAAATAGTCCTTGAAATCTTGCACGAATTTTTCAGCTGCACATTTGTCAGAACTGGCAGCCTTGCTATGCCTTACCACACTGTGTATGCCACTATGCTTCTTAAATCTCTCAAACCAGCCTTTGCTGACCTTAAATTCACTAACATAAGCACTTGTTGCAGGCATTTTCTTTACGAGGTCGGTATGCAACTGCCTTGCCTTTTCACAAATTATCGACTGCATAACACTATCTCCTGCTAATTGTTTTTCATTGATCCACACTACCAACAAATTCTCAACATCTTCGAGTATTTGCAATCACTTTTTGGCGAGGATATCTACCCCCTTCACAACAACAGCTTCCTTGATTTCCTTTTTCTTAGACACAATGGAAGTGATCGTTGAATGGAGTTTTCTGTACGTCCTGCTGAGCTCAGCCACACTCACTCCACTTTCATATTTTGTGATTTCTTTCTTTAATTGTATCATGTTTCTCACCTTCTTTACCAAAGGGCTGGCACTAAAAGCTTTCTTTGGGCACACAGTGGCTTATTTAACAGTTTCAAGAACCAAAAAAATGGATTATTACGAAATGTATCGTATAAACGCCTGGAGTGATGGTCACTCGTGGAGAAACAATGCCACACTGACGCTCTGAATGTTGTGTGGGAGCCTTTGTGTATGCCTGGCCGCTCCTGGCCACACAAACGTGTTCCATGTGACAGACAAATCGCAAGGCAAATCACGAACCACGAGGCTTTATTTTGATGAAAAAAGTTGCCGAAAGTGGAAATTCATGAAACGCGAGGCTCGTAAAACTCGGGGTCCACTGTACAATTCGTTCCAGACACCCAAAAATATTAACAAAAAATACATTTTTTAAAGATTAACTAAAGTTTTACATAAACAAAACAGTGAGAATTAAATAAAATGACTAATGAAATGGATTAATGAGCATTTAACATCACATTTACCTTTATTGAAGATTCTTGTTGGCATATGGAAGACGGGAAGGAGAGAGGGAGGACTGATTATTGTTTGAAGGGGAATCCCCCTTCATAAGGACTTCAGGTATTAAGTCCCTATCTGGGGTTACTTCTTTTCTTTGTCTTTTACTGGCACTAGGACCAGCTTGTGAGTCACTGCACCTCTGTTGCACAAAAAAACTGTCCAGAGAGGTCTGTTTCTGATGTCTTTCTAAAATTTGCCTGAAGTGGAACAAGGTTTTGTCACCGAACATGTTGCATATATGGCTTGTTTCAGCTTGGTCAGGGTGATATTTCTCCACAAGACTTTGCACCTCCCCCCACTTTGCACACATGTCCTTAATCGCTGAAGAAGGCACCTTCTTCCCTCTCTCTTCCTCCTCCTCTGAACCAATTTCCTCAGCTGTTGTCTGTTGCTGTTGCAGATGAAGGTCTTACATCTCTTCTGTGGTTAGCTCTTGGCCCCATGGTAGCGTATTTCGCAGTCGCGCTCAGTAAACAACCACAAAAAACAATGGATTATAACAAAATGTTTGGATGAATGCGCAGAGTGTTACTCACTCACCGAGAGACACAGCCAGACTGACTCACACACGTGGCGTGGCAGGCGGACACGTCCAGTATGGTCAATTTCCGAGTTGCCGACCGAAATCCAGGATAGAATTTCAGTCAAAAAAGTGGCCGAAATTCGATTTGGCCGATATCTGGGGGTCCACTGTATAATAATACAGTAACAGATAACAGAAATGAGACATTTCTACTATCTCATTGGCACATGTTTATTCGTAATCTATAAATATGGCCTCTTAGTTTACCTACTGATGTTATGAAATATTCCTTGTCATTTTTTTCATATCCTTTGATAATATATTCTTATTTTCTAAAGTTGGCCAGTGTTGCATAGAAGTTTTGCATTATAGCTGTAGGAATCTGCTTACAATCTTTCTATTAATCCTTTCACTATCACAACCCCCCAAATAAAAAATGCTGACAGTGTTATGATTTTTTTTTAAAAATCAGTCTTCTGAAATGTAGAACTTTTTTCTGAAGGTAAAGATGCCAAAAACATGAAATTTGATGGAAAACTTTCAGAATTAACCCCCTTCAGGGTCCAGACCCTGATCTGAGCCACATTTTCTGCAATTCCATTGTTCCAGTCGATAAAACTCATAACTGTTTCGCTAGTATTCCTTCTATTCTGTTGATTGAGTACAAGAAACCGCCCATTTACCTATTTCAACTACCCAATAAAGTGATCAGAAATCCGTAATGTCGCCAATTTCACACAAAATTAAAAAATTGCCAATTTAAAGATAGGGTTCAGAATAAATAATGTAGACCTTCTTGGCACTAAAAAAAACATTTCCTCTGTTCATTGGTTATGTCCCCAGGCCTCTCTTGTATTAGGCTTGCTTTAATTTTGAATTTTTATTCACACAAAAAGTAGAAGATTTACTGTTATGCATTCTAATGCATTATTGTAACAATTGTATAAATAATATCAGTGCATTCCTAAATTCATATTAGATTAGCCAGTTGAATGTGTATAGGATGAGTGATGCCATTTGTGTACTCTTGAATACCAGCAAAAAATTAACATTTTTGCTCCTCTTAACTCAGTTTCAAGTTATTTTCAGCCCTGAAACCAATCAAAATCATCTTTATTTATGTAATATATCTTCCATTCTATCAAATGAGACCAAGAAACCAAGAATACAATCATAAAGATCATTTGAAAATACACCTCAAAGTTGCTGTTTTAACCCAGTCTGTTTTTTTCCCCATTATGCACTGCTTGCTGTAGGATTTTTTTCATATGGTTCACACTTGCCATATAGACCCATTCTCTCATATCTAGACCCAAATTTACTGCTCACAGCTTGTCTGCATGAGCTGAGCTCATGGCATAGAACTACAGTACTGACCCTGGCTTCAGAGCCGTTGGACTATGGCACTTACCCCAAAAGGGTTAAGCAAGTGCAGAGTCGATGATCTGAGTGAGATTTATGCATAATCAACTTTTCCAACTTTGAGTCCTATTTTAGCCAATTCCAGTGCTCAATTCAACTTTATTTGAAGCATGTAGAGAGAATGGAGCGAAACAGAATGACTTCAAGAGTGTATCAGTCTGTAGTGGAAGGAAGGCGGGGTAGGGGTCGGCCTAGGAAAGGTTGGAGAGAGGGGGTAAAGGAGGTTTTGTGTGCGAGGGGCTTGGACTTCCAGCAGGCATGCGTGAGCGTGTTTGATAGGAGTGAATGGAGACAAATGGTTTTTAATACTTGACGTGCTGTTGGAGTGTGAGCAAAGTAACATTTATGAAGGGGTTCAGGG